GGGGTGGGTCTCCCTAATTCGATGTGACTTACCAATGCACACCTTTACCCACTTTTTGGCCCAGTTTCGAGGCTGTTTTGTCACTGAAATTGAAATCTTGGTCTTCGGTACAATTCATTTCGACGCACGCCACGCCCTCTGTGGGCGGGGCTCCGCTTAGCTGATGTGTGTTTTGTACTTCGTGAGACCTTGCCCACCCATCCCACACTTGACCCGGTCCCTCCAGGCGGATCCCGAGGAGCTAGGGAATTTCGTGACAGACATACAGAACGACAGACGACAGACGACAGACGAAGCGCTTTATAGTAAGTAGGATACAATAGAACATGAAATTTCATTACCAAAGAAAGTGCTCGAGATGGCCTCCTTTGGTAGCGATACAGGCTTGAAGTCTCTTTTCAACTGACATCACCGTGGGCCGCAAGTAGCTGACGTCGGCGTGACGTGAGTAGATCTTCAGACCAGAAGTGGCGCACGATTTGCAAAACGACAGGCAGTTGTTGGATCTGGCTAGCAGACATTCTGCTCGACCTTGTGTACACACAAGGAACCGTATTTCAAAGTTGTCATGCGAATAAATCAAAGTCAGCGCCCAGATTTACCCGGAAGACAATTTTCACGTAATGCCCTTCTTTCAAGGACTCTTTTGACCTTCAGCGAACGTCATTGCATTCTTCAGCAAGACAGGGCGCCTCCACATGCCGCAAAATCAATGTTGGAGAACTGTGACCGTCATTTTCCAAGTTACCGGCACAAAATGTTTGGCCATCTAAGTCGCCCGATTTGAACCAATTGATTTGGCGGTGTGGGGCTTCTTGAAGCAGAAGATGCCTTCTGAGCAACGTCGAAGTTTGGACTCCCTGAAGGCTTCCTTGGAGGAGGCGTGGAAGGAGCTTGACGTCAGCTACTTGCGGCCCAGTGATGTCAGTTGAGAAGAGACTTGAAGCCTGTATCGCTGCCGAAGGAGGCCATTTCGAGCACTTTCTTCAGCAATGTACTGCCATGTTATACTGTATATAAAGATAAACCTCTGAAGATGTAAAAGCTTCTCGTTTTAAAAATATGGATCAACAATCCATGCGCCAATATTAGGTAGTAGCCACCCTCTATAATCAGTCCCAGGGCAGGCTGCGCCTGGAGGTCGTGACGATGCGCGGTTTGCATCAAGAAAACGGCCCCCGGCGGCCTAGCAGGACCATGTCCGTGGCGTCGGGCCGATAGCGCGTCCACCGCTGGGTAAACCCTTGCCGTCTGACTCTAGCCGTACAGAAGAAAGAACATTATCATCGATGAGAGTAGCGCCGACGGTAGTCGCCCCATCGGGGAAATGATGAACCGGAAATGATCTGAGTTCTCGGGTTCTAGGCCGTTGTTGTTAATTACTCTTCGTTCCTGCATCACTAACCACTATTCTTCATTTCCAGTGAGCTGCTTTCTCATCGAAAACTCACCTTGAAGAAAAACTTGACAGTGCGCAAGCACAACAGAAACCTTTTAACATTTATGGAAGGAATCACAGAAGCGTCTATGAAAAACAAGAACTCCAAGTGTGTTGTGGGAGTAGACACAACAACAAAGGCCATATTTCCAGACAAGCGCTACAAGAAATATCAAGAAAGGCGGTAGCGTGATGAGGAGAAGGAACCGGTACAAATTCATAAAGGTGAGCTGAAAGATGGTGTACTGAGATACTTGGAAAGGTGAAGCTACTATCTCGCTCGCCCTAATTCTTTGTTACAGAAATTCACCATGAGAAACAATATGAAAAGCAAGATCATGATGAGGAGGTAAAAGAACCAGTGAAACGCAAAGGTAAGCTGACATACGACGGAAACATTCGGAAAAACTAAGCGTTCCCTCACTGAACTTGTCATTACAGCAAGGTATCATACAAAGTATCATCAGAAACAAGAGCATGATGATGAAGAACCGGCAACATTCCCTAGAGGTGGGCTGACAAATGAACTTTGACGGAGAAACCTTTGGGGAGGCTAAGCGACTTGTAACCCCACCGTAACTCCGTTCTTATAGAAGTTCACCACAGTAAATACCACGGAAAGCAAGAGCAGAATGAGAAGAAAGGAAAATCGACGAAAATCCATCAAGGTGGGTTGAGAGACGATCTATGAAAGCATTACAACTTCGTGTTTTGAGGATTGCGCCGTTGGCAACGAGACGAAAAGCGAGAGCATATCGAAGCCGAAGAAAATCCGGTGGAATACGTCGAGGACGAGACGGCATATCACAGTGCTTGAAATAATAACTATATGAACGCTAATTCTGAATCTATCACATTCTATTTGGATGTCACTTATTCCTTTACCCCAGATCAAGCAGATTACAATCCATAATCTTTTGTGGGACTTGGTTGTACTCAACGAATTACTATACGGATACTCACTTCACAGATTCCCCTTTATTTTGTAAAGGAGATCATTCGAAAATTCACTTCGATATTTTTCAATTATCCCTTGGACTACCAAACTCTTACCCACCAAACAAATGCACTATTACAATTCAACTAATCTCTTCGTACAGCCCCTCCGAATATCCTACTAAACAGGAAGATTAAGCTGATTTCGACGAATAGATCACAGTACGTCGAGGAGCCCCCTAGATCAGTTTTAACCCATTCCGGACCGCCGGACACCCATGGGGTGTCAGGAACTTCAGGAAGGAATTTTTCCAACAAAATGTTTTATGCTTTTACAAATCTATGTAACATACTCATGTTGTAGGTATGAAAAAACCTAGACTTCGATTCTGAACTAGCTCCTAAATGGAACTTTCACTTTCACCCCGAAGAAAACAGTTACAATTCATTTGAAAACACCCCATAAAAAAGAAATCATGAAATGTCGTGCACCGCCAATATCTGGTCCCCTCTTTACCTTTACAATTTTTTTTGAACAATTTTCGTTCCTTGTTACTTTTTATGGCCCCATCACTCCTACTAAATGACGGTTTACTGTATATAACATATATATATATATATATATATATATATATATATATATATATATATAATATATACTTTCAGACATTACAAAGACAGAAAGGAGAGAAAATAGTTTTTCTATTAAAAATACAAATTAATATATGATGTTTATGCTCGCCGCGCAGCACGCGGCAATGAACCTAAAAAGGGGCCGGTCACACGCTCCCGCCACGAGAAGTCCGCGGTCCGGAAAGGGTTTAAGTAACCAATAGAGCATCATAAATCACTGGTCCTGCGCGACATCTAGGAAGGGAATTATTAGATGTCGCGCATTGCTAGTACTGGTTCCAATGGTTTTGATGTTCAAACAATTCGTTGTATCAAGTGCAACGACAAAGAGAAAACGATGGAAAAGCTGTGATATCAAGTCAAGAAGAGTTTACCAACGACTCTTTAGCAACGATTATGGAATTGGAATTCAAATTGCTTAGATGGTGAGAATCAAGGATCGAATCGAATCAATCGATAGATTTTCACGCTGAAAAGGTCGACAAAATCCAAGACTTTCACAGGGTCCATATCTTTCGCCAGCCTCAGTCCGAGCGAGTAATCCTTAGCAGGAATGAATATTTCGATCATAAATAAACAAATTTAGTTTTTGATTAGCTTCACCAGTAAATGAGAAACGTACTCATTCTCCCTGACCTGCATAAATACTCACTTTGGTTACTCACATTCTTAACTCGTTGACGACAGCGCGACGCGTAATGCGACCCACCCGGGAGAGGGACTTTAGATGCAGATGACCTCACACTCCCTATGTCACACCTGCCGACTCGCGTGTCCTATCAATCGCCTGTGGGATGACCCCGTTTAATTGCCTGCTGACCTCGCGCCACCAATACATCAACTAACTATTAAAGAAACAGACACATTTTTCTACCAATTATCAGGAATACATGCCTCCAAACTCGCCTGCAGGCAAACAAGTTCAAAAGGGGATGACCTGTCACACTCATTTGATACCCATTTCGTACTCTTTGATTTCTCAACCAATTAGGAGGTCACCTGGAAGTAAATTAAAAAAATTTAAATAGGTGGACGAAAGTAGAATAAAACATTTGTTCCCTTGCTTGTGTTTGCCCTTGCATGAACATGATTTCAGGCTACTACTTTGGCGATCTCTGTCAGAATTCGTACAGCGACACCCTTTCGAATGGATCTTCTGCGTCCGATGCTCTTCTCGTGGGCACGGCGCAACCGCAGCCTTCTCGATTCTTCATGAATACATCACTTCGCGCAACCACGCGGCCCTTCCTCCTCTTCCACTTCACACATTTTCAACACCAACTGCTCTCCACCTTCCATCATCCTCACTTCAATGTACAACCCAAGCTGCTGCTCCTTATGCAGTGCACCCTTGCCCTCACTTCACTCTTCACCTGCACACGCAAGCTCTCCGTTTTCAGGTACATCAGATACACCTGCTACTCTCACAAATCCGCAAGACACAATTCCGCAAAGATACATTGGTGAAAAACAGGTAAGCAACAGTGGAAAGCGTGATGTGCTAATTCATCGAATTCCAGGGACTACACGTTGTTACACTTTCTACCGAGTGCACCAATAAAAACAACGACAACTACTTCTGCGTTCATTGTCTCAAGGAGAGGCGAACATCTGGGTGGAGGATACATCAAGGTAGGTGAAAAACAGGGAAAGAAGCGTGGACTTCTGTCAAGGGATTCTGTTTAGGTTATCGGAAACGAGTTCTTGTCCGATCCGTGCAGAATGGAACACGAATACATACCAGGCAAGTATGCCGAAGAGTGGTAATCGGCAAGTATACAAAGTAAAACATCAAGACGCCCAATACTAATTTTTGACGTGTAATTGCTATTCTCAGGAAATGCAAGCCGTAAGGCAAGACCCCTCATGCGCCGGAAAGAAACCTGTTAGAATATACTTCGACATGGTGGCAGCACCGCTTGAGGCTGACATGGTAAAATATCCATAATCAGTCTATTTTTTTTTGAAAATTCCCGGTCCTTTTTCAGAGCTAATGGAGGATTCTATTAAGGCCGCGATTGGCCGTTCGGGATACCAGACTCGCAAACGGGTCGGATCGAGGTGAAATCATCAAAAACTTCCTTATCTGCAATTAAGTTTTGCTACTTTCTCATTTCACAAACGTGGGCATATGGGCAGATCGATCTGTTACTATGGATCATGTTCCTTTGGAATATCGAACTCTACCAGATGGTTCCACTTTCTTGCACCATCAAACGCCAGGCTTCCATATCTATTTCTCTGTGGCAACCGTTCAGGTGAATAAACCAGATTTTAAAGTTCCGCGTTCATTTTTCCTCAAGTTCATTTAATTTTTAGAGAGCGTGCGAAGGAGGCACTCATTGCCTCCTAAATCACTCGTTTATCACGCACAGTTGTACTGCGTGCACGGCGTATGCTCCCAGGGCGTTGAGATACCACTTGTCTACTGCATAACGTCGAAGAAGACGCAAAATTTATACGTGGAAATTTTTTGAAATGTTGAAGACAAATATTATGGGCGATGTGGGCGATGTACCAAAGCAGGTGATTCTAGATTTCGAGAAAGCAGCTATCAAAGCTGCACTGAAGGTCTTCCCAAGGGCTTCCGTAGAAGGCTGTGCATTCCACTTAGCACAGGCCTGGAATCGTAAGACGGATGCACTGGTCTGAGGAGGTACATTCATGGATTGGAAAGAGATGAACGAGTAGCAGAATGGTGGGAAGTGAAAGGTACCGCATATGCTAAAATTTTATAATTTTCAGAAATCTCAATCATTGCCCTTTTAGATGTAGTGTTCCTTCCACACTCACTAATGCCGGAAGTCTATATGTCTGTTCAGTTCATTCCTCTTTTCTTTTCATTAACGTGAGAATGTTGATAAAAAGGAAGAAACAACACAAACCTATTTGTATGGAAGATATGTGTTTTACTGAAACAACCACGTCCTAGTTTTTTGGAACCACTGAAGGGAAAGTCACTAAAATTTGCCTTTTCATGACCTTATTATATTATATTACATCATTCCGGTCACGCTTTCATTACTGTAGCTCCTTATAAGTTAAACAGATGAAACATTTACCGCTTAAAACCTACAGATTTGGTGTACGGCGGCGGCGCTGGTAAAATCACTCTGGTCCCACGCCGTCCAAAAATCCAGAAATGATGAAGTTCTGATCCGTACATGCCCTCGAAGAGTGCGTTTCTAATCAGATAACGCTTGTCAAATTGTCGTGGTCGGCTTATATATCACATGTAATCACTTGGTTAAACTTCTAGTCATGTTGCGCCCATCTAAGTTTTTTAGCACTTCACAATCACTTCTTTTGCGGAATGATGGTGGTTTCCAAAGCTTACACTTATGTCAGTCGGGCCTTGGTGAATCCCCCTTCTACTTTTTCAAAGCCCATCGACCTATTTGGACTTGTGCGATGCTTACAAGGCATTAGCTGGCAGAAGTAGTTGATTTCGGCTCCGAGCTGAACAGAATTACCGCTCAAAACTGCCCCGCCCACAACTGGGGTTTAGCAGTATCGCTGTGTTTATCGTTGGTTTTCACTTTGATACCTCATGTCGAGCGGCCTGATCTCGCAATGTTGTCTTATTACTCAATGTGGTTTTCTGACCTGAGCAGCAACTTTTACGACTAAACTAATCAGCGGACGGAATGAGGGTCCAGCTTCGCAGGTTTTTGTCTCATTTCTCTTTTTTGCCACTGGAGTGCGACTCACCACCTTCAACTTTTACGCTAAAACTACCCAGAATTATTACACTCGTTGCCCTTAGTCTACGTGTGTGACCTTATTTAGTCAAAAATATAATTTCTTAACACAAACGAATACATATATAATGAAATGTAGCTATTTTCACAAAATATCTTCTATTATTTGTTTTCTACATTTTATGACAATTTTTTATCAGATTACAGGCTCACGCCTGGCTTGTTCTGGCTTGTTGCAGTTAGGAGGTACTGTTCAAGAGTGTCATTCGATTTTTCTAGTATAGCTTCACGTTGTTTTTCTCGTACGGTAAATTCGCACTTATGTAGTAAATAGACACCAAAGATTCTAGTCTTGAAAAGCAAAACTTTACTAAATTCAAAAATAAGCAACCAATAATACATTAAACGGTAAGAACATTGGCATGCCACACACGTAATCTGCTCTGATATCCATTCCTCCTGATCGTCATGTGCTCAGCGCCATCACTATTGGTTTGCCTAGTCCACTTCTCATGCCTGAAACACTCCATCATTTTCATCGTGTTTGGAAATCGGTTGTGTGTCGGATCGAGTGTGCGAATTTCTAGAGAATTTGCCAAATGTGGTCGTTGTCAAGATTCGGAGTTGGACCCGATCGATACGTCGCTATGGCTGTTGCGCGAGCGTGGGAACGGCGTCACGCATCGCGCACGTGAATCGCACGTGGCCGCCAAGGGCTGGGGAACGCGATCGGCAATGGGCAGAATGCTAGAAACGGTGAAAAACAATGTTTTGAGTGCGGGCAGTGCAACATATCATTCGATAGTACTTTTTCATGGGGAATCTAACAGTGCACATCTCACTTTCAAAGGCTCACATGGAAAGCAAAAAATCTGATCTTTCCACAAGGGCATGACGAGGAGGCATGTTTGGGGCCACACCACGGAAGGAAGCGCTCACCTGCGACCAAGCTTTCCATATAATTCCTACAGACAAGTAAGCGTAGTGTAGGACAGTGAAGAGATTTCGTCGCTATCTTCTCAGGTTTCTCCAAAAAATCTCTTGGAAAATTGGGAAATGTCACGAAATGAGACTGCTAGTCCTGCTGAAAACTGATCTAAGATTCTCGTTCGAACTCAAGAGAATGGGATTTTCGGCGCAGAGACTACACGTCTCACCATTCAGCTCCTTGAAATGAAATAGAAATCATGGAAACTTGAAAAAAGTTTCAATTAATCTCGCAATCTAGTGCACAAAGTCGAGTACGTGGCGCATTCTGGGACAATGCCCCAAGCCCATCTTTCTATGAAACGATCAGGCTCCACTAGTGTGATTAGTACGCATCACATCCAATCACTTATCCTGAGATGAAAACTCGAGTGCATGGCGCAATCCTATATGGAGCTTTTCCAAAGTATCAAAGCACATTCTTATAGTGTCCGACGAGCTGAATTCAAAGATATCTTCGGATTCTCGAAAGCTCAATTTTGAACCGAGTTATAACGAATTCACGAAATTAACGAGGATTCGCGTTATTCGCGTGAATTTTCGATTTCAAACGGCGAGCACTGTAGTTGGACTAACGAGCAGGGTCAAGCGAGGCGTCGAGGAAAATTTGGAAATACGCCCCCCCCCCTCCCTCCGCCAGAGGCCGAAGTCCATGAAACGACCCTCTTCAAAAGCCGAACTATGAAAAGGTTGTTTAATTCTCCCCCAAAACTGTTCATAAAAAAGCCCTGCTACCCCACCGTCCACCAAAAAATTCGTTTAAGAAGTACAAAAGTGAAAAAGTTGATGAGTCCTACCAAACGAGCAAACGAGAAAAGAGCAAAAACGACAAACTAGTCACTAAAAATGGCATACTATGACAACATCTCTTCTTTATTTATTTCCTTCACAAGACTTACCAAATTCTAGTACTACACAGATTGTGGTTCTCAATTTACACGTCCCCTTCAGTTGAAAGAAGCTTTTTAACCGCCTTCGCCAGCTGTGTGTTGACTGGACTTTGGCGTTGACCGTGGAGCAGCTTATTTACTATTGAAATATTCAAATGATTATAACTTTCTTCAAATATGACGAATTTTCAATCTGAAAGCAGATTTGGAGTTTTGTGAAGAGCTCTTTCTAATCAGTACTGAAATTACAAAAATTATAAGAAATAACAAATTTAGATCAATTAACGAGGAAAATTCATGATGAGCACGAGTTTTTACACTTTCCGAAGCCATAACTTGCTTCATTTTCGTCAAATTCGAAAAGTTAATACGTCATACAAAACTAGAAGATTTTCTCTATCAAACGGTCGCTAAAGCAGCTTTATACGTCCAGTATTCAAAAAATGGCCACGTTGAGGATTTTTGCAAAATTAACGAGGAAAATTCGTGATGAGTGCGAGTTTTTACGCTTTCCAAAGCCATAACTCCGTTCAAACTCATCCAATCCGAAAAGTTAATACGTCATCATAAACTAGAAGATTTGCTCTATTCAACGGTTACTAGAACTGCTGAATACTCCCATTAAAAATGGCCACGTTGAGGATTTTTGCCGAGTACCGCCGAAAGGTACTTTTTCGCTGCATTGGCACTATTTCAACGACTATAGCTCCTTTCAGGGCGATTACATACTAAAGTAGGAGCAGATTCGAAATCCTCGTGCTTTTCTCTTTCCAAAAAGTGTAAAATTGTTTAGCGGTCTCAACTTTAAGGTTACATGCTTGTGAATTTGACGCTGAAGGCTGCGTTTCTTGTTGAATGGTGTACTCCTCCTGTAATTTCACATGAACCCTTTCAGAATCCTCTTGATTTTTCCTGAATTGAGATTCTTTCTCCAGAGAGCCGTAGCTGAAGCGCGCGCAACCAACTGGGCCCACTCTGGGATGCGCCGTGTGCTTCACATCCCTTTGGATTTGAGGACTACTTAAAATATCCCTTGGAAAACGTGCGAATTTCGGATTCTTTAACTTGTGTGGTGATAAAACACTGAAGTAACTAAGAATTGCTAAGCGGACACCTCTAAATCACGAAGATTTTGTGTGGGCGGAATCAATTGTTATTGGAAATACTCTGGCCTGGCATCGATTCGATCCTTGATGTTTGTCCTCCGACGATGATCCTACTGTATCAATCGGGCCCGATCTCTCCCCAGCGGGCCAATACGACCCCCCCCCCTGTGACATGTCGAGGATTCCTCAACGCACGCTTGACCTGCTGACAAGTTGAAATGTAGTCGCGCTCAACCTTCAGCAATGATTTGACCACCTCTAATATAAATTCCCCCGTCAGGTGAAGTACTCCGTGGTGCGGGGGAGAAATTGTCGATAGCTATAAAGTGTTGCCCGCCACTTTAAATGACCTGTCGTTTAAGCAAAAGCTTCACCGAGTGCCCGTGCTCCGACTTCTACTTCTAATATTAGCTACGAACCGAAATAGAGAAGATTGGAACCAAATCGATGGGGTCAGGCTCCGGCGTCGGCTTGACACCTACCCACGATTTGCGGATGCTCAGGACGTCATAAGGACTACGGCCAATGGAACTGTCAAAATATATATTGCTTGTCACAACGTCCGAACGTTATCATCTGATGCACTTACTGATGTGTACATTCAGGAGACGAGAAAAGTTAAAGCCGACGTGATAGGAGTAAGTGAAACAAGACGGAACGAAGACATAGTTGCAAAATACAGGCGATCAGGTTCTCCCAGGTCGTTTTCCAAATGTACCCCGCACGGGAGGGGTGGGATTCATTGTGAAAAGAAAAGTTGTTCCACTAATTGTAAGCTGTGAAATCAGATCGCCGCGAGATTCAGGTATACGCGCCAACAAGCCAGCATGACGATGAAGAAGTAGAACAGTTTTATGAAGAAATAAATGAAGCCTTACGGATTCCATCAACATACACAATTGTTCAAGGCGATATGAATGCATCTGTGGGCAAAAAACGGAAAATGATGGTAGAGAGATGGGAAAATTCGGGTACGGAGAAAGAAATGAGCGCGGTGAACAGATGATCAACTTTTCAACATCAAATAGGCTTCGCATCATGAATACATTCTTCATGAAGCCTGAAAAAGATTATGGACTTGGAAAAGCCCGAACGGAACAGTAAAAAAGCAGATTGATTATGTGTTTTCCAACGTTCAACGAATTTTTCAAGATGTTAGCGTAATCGGTGAAAACATCATTGCCACGAACAGTGACCACAGAATGATTCGAAGTACCATCATAATAGACAATGCACTGGAATCCAGAATACTTGCAAGAAGTCGACGAATAGGTTCAAAAGTCATCCGCAACCCTGAAGAAGTAGAAGAACAACTGAAGAGGAAAGGATCTGAACTATCTACGGCTTGTAACGATCGACGAAGATTATCAGAAGCTAATTCAAACCATAAAGGAGGCTGTGGAGGCGGGTAGCACGCGCGTGAGAAGGCAAAACCATCGGCTAACGGAGCAAACTCTACAACTTCTGAGAAGGAGAGCTGCTTTAAAGGCACAAGGAATACTAGACGAAGAATACCATCACATATGTGAGCAAGCTAGGAGAATGATAGTGGCAGACTATGATAACTACAGGACCCGAAAATTAAGAGAAGCTGTGAAAGCGAACAAGGGGCTGAAAAAGGTAACAAAAGAAGTCCAACTAAAGCAAAAGATGCCACTAGAAGTCGAGTATTTACTAGAAGTGGCATGACACGAATATGCAAAAGCTTCTTCAACAAACTGTACAGTTCGGTTATCCCCATACAAGAAGAACGTTGTACAATTCAACCGGAGGAATTCCAACCTGTCCTAACAGATGAAGTAGAAGCTGCGATTGCAAAATTAAAGAACGGAAAATGCCCTGGAATAGATGGAATAACGGCAGAAATGCTCAAGGCCGGCGGTACTACTTTAGCAAAATCGCTTGCTCGAAGATTCACAGTATATGCTCAAGAAGTCAAGCTCCCCAGTGAATGGAAAAAATCATCGACAATTCTTCTGTTCAAAAAAGGTGATAAAGAAGAAATAAGTAACTACCGCCCGATTTCGCTGTTATCTCAGCTATACAAAACTTTCACGAGAGTATTGCTCAATAGATTATCACAGGATATAGAACAGAATGAAGATCGGGAACAAGCAGGGTTTCGGAAAAACTATTCCACAATTGATCACATCCACGCTTTGAGACAACTGCTTGAGAAAAGTAGAGAATTCCAATTGCCGGTATGCTGCCTTTTCGTGGATTTTGTGAAAGGCTTTTGACACAGTGGAGACGAATGCAATTCTTAACTCCCTTCGTCAAATAGGAATTAATTCCAATTATATCAACAGAAATGTATCGAGGAAGCACTACCAATATCAAACTGTTCGATGAAGAATGTGAAGTCGACCTAAGAAGAGGTGTACGACAAGGGGACTGTATCTCACCGAAGCTTTTCTCTGTGGTAATTAATGCTGTATTCCGAAATTTGGAATGGAATGAGGGAGTCAAAATAGATGGAGAAACGCTCACACATCTTCTATATGCGGACGATTGTATATTATTCGCATCAACAACAATGGAGCTGCAGAGGAAATTGAGGGATCTACAAGTAGAAGCAGCGAAAGTTGGTCTACAGATTCACCCAGAGAAAACAAAATGGATGAGAAATCGATACTGCGAAACAGGGAATATTGATTTGGATGGAAAGCATATCGAAGAGGTAGAATCGTTCGTTTATCTCGGACAACTGGTCCACAAAGATGGTGGGATGAAAGATGAGATATCAAGAAGAATTCGAGCAGCATGGACAAGTTTTGGCAGATACAAAAGAAGCCTTACAGATGAAGAACTAGCAATGAAAGATCGTTCAACTCTCTTCAACACAATGGTATTACCAACCCTCACATATGCAGCAGAAACCTGGGCGACAACGGAAAACGATGAAAAAAAATTAGCTGTAACACAAAGGCATATGGAAAGAAGGATGTGCAAGATTTCGTTAAGAGACCGAGTAAACAACGAAACGTTGATGATGTTGTCAAAACCATATATCGAAAGAAACAATCATGGGCTGGACACGTGACAAGATGTAAAGATAACAGATGGACAGTAAGATTAACCGAGTGGTACCCTCGAGGATGCAAACGCCCTGTGGGTCATCCGAAGATGAGATGGTGCGATCCAATGGTACAGTTACATGGTCACCAATGGACAAGAATAGCACAAGACAGAGAAAGATGGAAAGGTTCCGATTTGCAAACATGGAGGAATGTTTGAAGACAAATCGCGTAAAGGTAAAAAGGTAAAAGGTAATATAAATCGTGCACTTGGTTGGATCTTTGTATGACTCCGTATTTTCTACTCGTATTTACTTTGTATTTTGTATAATACCATCTTTATCCCCCTTCGAGCTCCCATCCGCCGTCTTTGAGACCTTACTGGTACTCCACCAACGCTAAGCAGCCACACAATTTTGGTAGATATTGAAAAATCTTACAATTAGATCTCTTCGGACGGTGAATAGGGAGCAGGGACTCCTTCAAACGTACGAAAAATACTAGTAGACGCTATTTACACGCTACCCGCACTTCAGAATCTGCCTTCCCTTTGATGAGCTGTTGCCATCCCAGCCATTTAAGTGCCTTCCTACTACATCAAATTGGTGAAAATATCACCTCGGAAATCAAAGTATGTGTGAGGTGAACTTCCATGTGCGAGTGGGAAAGAAACTGCGCGCGCCGAAATTTTCAAAAATAAAGATCTTTTTTTGGTTGACGCGTTTTCGAGCTAGATAGAGGAGATTAAAGGAGAAAACTAGTGCCGAGATGAGGACGCACAATAAATCAGCGGAGGCAGACATATCTTCTTGAAGCCCGTCGCATCTTCCTCAGGAGGAGCGATGGCCATGAAAAACCAACCACTTCTTGAGCACCTTCACACAGAAACATACTTCCTGGGAACAGTTCCACCGTCTCATGGCATTCATAACTTCACGATGAAATTCGCCTTCAAAAACTATTTAATAGTCTCTAGAAAAATCAAGGACTTGAAAATCAAAGGCGCCAACATTGTCGCAAAATATTGTTCACCTGAATTCTTTTCTGATTGTTTATAGCGCTTGGAATACTTTTCTTGTTATGGCAGTTTTTATGAGAAATTAGGATTTAGAATCGAAGACATAAATACGTGGCAGGCACAGAATCCCACGGAAAGAATTAATCTGCATAAATGGGGGCGGAATGCCGGAATGCGGCTTTGAAAACTATTGGGACTTTTGATGGGAAGCAACCAGGAAAATTTGTGTATAGCGCTCAATACCGAAGAATGTTTCAAGAGCGCAAGGCCAATTTCTGAAAGGCCGGTTGTGGTAGGCTGAGAAGACATACTCACCGAGGCGAGAGAACCCGCAGAAGAGCACGCCCTCGACAGGATACAGATGGATCACTGCTGCATAGCGGGGTACAGGAGGTAGCAATCTCTCCTAATCGGGGCATCAGCAAGGCTCTGTTTTTGGAAATTCGCTTCAAATGTTCTACTTGGTATTTTGAATACCAATTCTGCATACTGTTTTAAAGCGCGTTTCTTTCTCCATCGAACAACGTGAGCGCTTTGCTCATAATCATTTGTTCTCACTTTTTGGAACCCTTAATGCGGCATGCTCGAAGAGCAGTTTTGCGTGATTTTTATTTTCCAGCTCAAACTAGGTCAGATAAGGGCGGGAGCAGGTTGCAATATCAAAGACGTATTTTGCTGAGAACTGTGAAAAAGTGCTGTGAATGGGTGACCAATACTCGTTTAGATCTCCGCACTAGTGGTCGCAGCGGCGACTCCTGAGTGCGTCTTTGGAACTTGAAGTGAAGGGGACGCCGATCCCGTCCCTGACGTTCAACTCCAATAAATGCGCGAATATTTCGGTTCCATCACATCTTCTTCTTTCCGCATTTTTCAATAATTGCGAGAATGAACTTTGGAAACGAACTACTTTGACGCCATAATTTCTATGGAAGAGTCAGAGGAAATGTGTTGGAAGTCGATGTCGCTCCCATAGATCATCGTGCACTGCAAGAATTCACAACTCCAATCGCCAAATTGGGAGCTTATCGCGTCGCGACGCCGCGACGAAGAGACGGTTCTGTTGGCCGCTACCTGATGAGCCAGAAGGGCGATAGTCTGATATCAGATGCTTTCAACGATTATATAGATTCTTCGGGCAAATGTGCATTGAAATATTGGAAGTCCTCCTACTAAACCAATCAATTTATGGTTTCTAGAAATCTCAAGAGTCTTCGGTGGAATACTTTCTCAACTGTAACTTCTGTTCTGCTGAATCAGGTCAATTCAAATTTTGTCAAGTTTTAATATGTTTTAAGGTCGGCCTTCTCCACTGAACGATAGAGAACAGGACATGTGTCCGAGTTAGTTCTCCCTTTGAAGAAATCCTTCGGAAAAAGCGTGCTTTCTTGACATGAATGTGTCAGTTGTGATCACTGGAAACAGCACACAAAGTTTCACGCATGAAGATTCGGTTTCCGAAGAGAAACAAACGTACAAAAACTACACTTATGGACATCGAAGGTAATTCGGGCGGAGCCAAAGGCGAGGCATGGAAAGAAGTTGGCCTTTGGCCGGCTACGTATCAGGCGACGCAATGAAAGAATCGGGTTAAAGCGCGCGATTTCGGAGAGTAGAGACAAATCGATCGATAGAATAGGATGGAGTAGAAGTGTAAGATGTGAATGCAACGAAGCAGAAGGCCAGAAAGAGTTTCTAGTGAAGGCACTCCAAGAACCAAGTGGAAGCATCCCCGTCGCCAGCATTTGTGAAAGACGTCCGTGGGCACTTTGAACGCGTAGCAGCCTTTCGATTTTTCGAATTTTTAATCAAAACAATACTTCTGTTCTTTTCACTATTATCGTGGATAATGAGTCTCAAGCCAGTGATTTATGGCTGAAATAGAATCATGATTTTCCGTGTAGGATTCCTTTGAGAGCATCCTATCGAAACCATTCCTCCACTGTGGAGGTGCGATGGTTTTGGTCGCTCTATTGCTATTATATTAGGTTGGAAAGAAAGTTCTGCAACACTCTTTCTAAAATTTTCTTTTTTTTTCTGAAAAATTCATAGGTAACATTTATGACTAACAAATGGTAGAGCATTCTCGAGGCTTTAATCCACGAGGTGGATATAAGTGCTGCAGTCAGTAGTTATCCAAGAAAATTCAAAAAACCTCGACCACTAGTAAATCCGTACTCCGAGTCACTGTCTAGTACAAATGTCTCCATAACTATGGATTCGTGTCAACGACCAACACTATCTGCAATAGCTTCAATAGGCATGCCGTTCACCGCTACAGCGTGTTTCACCTTTACCAGCGCTTTCGATCTTTTGATATTTTTATAAGAAGCCAGCAGCGTCCCTCACACTCCATTACAGGTAGGGCTCTTACGGAAGCTCCACTACAAATTCTTCGTTATGGGCACCATTGTGTAGGTAGAGGTCTAGGCTGCGGAACTCCAGAAGCTGGCCGAGGCAGCTCGTCAGGAGCCCTCGTACCGCGACAATATTTATTTCTTTCATGACATTGCGAATCACCATGATCCGCTGGAGCTGCGGCAAGATTTCTTACCTCTCTTAGCGTATTCCCCTGGTCGAGCTATAAATGACTGCCACCTATCCTGGACCTTAAATCATCATCTTGATGACGAAATAATTAGACGATCAACTCCAACTCGAAAGTGAGGTCGCCTCCTTTCTCGACCCGCACTCCGCTGGGTTTTGGCAAAGGAGCATCAAGAAATTTTCTGAGCGTTGAAGACAAGTGGTGGACACTCATGGTAGATATAAGACCGGTCAGGAGTTGTAAACAAAAAAAATTAAAATCAAAAATTTGAAAAGTGTTGCAGGACTTTCTTCCCAACCTTAATAGAAAACGAAGTAGTCCCGCACAAGTGCCGGTCATGAATACGTATCACCTTCCAACCAAGGTGGATCGTCCGCTCTCGCCGATTGCGGATCTTTTGAAGTGGCGGTGAAAGATGGAACGGGTTTACGCACACCTGAACCCGAGATCCTCACAAGGCTACAACGTCTTTGGAGCAATGGAGGTAAATCTAAGGTGTTTGTCGGCGACGGCAGTAGGCATGTGTGGAGCTCTGACTGAAAACGTTTTGATACAAATCATCAGTAGCCATCCGTGAGACAAGGCGTAATCTCGGTGTTGGTAGATTGTAAGTGATGCCGGTCCACTACATAGGATTCTAGTAGTGAATGGGGACGTATCAGGTAGATTCTACAAGGGGTAGCGTATCAAAACATATAATAACTGTACGCTTCTGAGCTCACCTTAGTAAGAGAGTGAATCAAACTTAGAGTGACCAAAACATCGGACTTCTACTGTGAATGAGGATTTCGACAGCAGGCGCGCTTTTAACGAAGACGAAGGAACCAACTCGGACGCTTGTCCTGAGCGCCATCGGAACATTATGGGAAAGTAGAAATAAGAAGCATGAAATTGGAAAATAATTTGCCAGATTTGAAGAAAAATGGAAGGGTTGTTCCGATAGGAGCGCATTCATTGACCGGTTCTACCTGAGCCTTATAAGATTTCAGCGGCTACAGAAGTTGTGTGACAAAGTATCGAACTTGCTCATTTATTTTTGCAATTTTGTTTTTCATCATGTGTTGGAGTGTTATGTTGAATTGTAAGATTTTACAATATTCTGAAATTTAGTTGGCACTTGATTGTACTCGGAAATTTCTGATTAAATGGCTTCCTCATTCACAATTCTCGATACTAATACGGTGGTTCACTGAAAAAGCCCTTCCTTTGAAACGCATCGAAATTTGAGCTGATTTGATCCAGCAGGAAGGAAGTTACAGTGCGCAAAGTATTCCTCCGGAAACTTCTGAGCGCTACTGTACATAGGAGGACCTTGACATCCAAAAATAGAGAAACGAATAATCGACAAATTACCGTTTTGGAGTTTCGTATGCCTCTCTTCCACCTTCTCATGCGATGGAAAGAACTTATTTTCTACTTAGTTGCGGCTTGCAACCTTGAGCGCAATCTTTGCGAAAACGCCCAAGGCTCTGGAATAATTTGACTGACCGACAAATGTTTGCAAACTTGTGCTTCACTGAGGATTTACGGTGATTTTTGTATGCTTAGCGGCCTGCTTTTTGCCCAACCTTTTTCAGCTTGTGTGAATCTGTGACAAGGAGACAGCGCTCTATAAAATGCCAGAAAACACTGCTAACTTCAGCGCATGCGCACAGCATTCATCACAATGAAAGGACCAACTTATCCTAGCGAATTGGCGGTGGCTTGTACGCACAAGCAATCTTGCACAAGTTGACCATCCGAGCTGTGGAACAAAGCTGGAACCACCTTATTCATTACACCTCGCTTGTCACGTTTTCAGACATCAGAGTAGCCTCGTTGAAGAAAAATGTGCGCAACCTAACGTAAGGTTGAAGACAAACTTTCGATTTGACTGCCTCCAAAGACCTTGCAGTCTGAGCGGCCGAGTTTTAGCTGAGATACGTGCATTTGAATGGTTCAAAAAACCAAAAAAAAAATCAAAAATCGGCAGAAGTTTTCAAGTAGCCCCACATTCCTTGAAAAACCATAAAATTGGCGATGAAAGCGTCCGCAATGTCGTGAATGTTTTATACAACCTAGCCGTCAAAATTTAATTCTTGTTTTTATAGCGCTTATAATGTTTTTATTGTTATGACACCGTTTATATATGAAATGAGAAATCAGAATCAGATACATAAATACGGGCCACGCAAAAAATCCACAGAGATCTCCCTTTTCTCTGTGGAGCCTTGTCCGAACTATGCTCGCTTCTTTCTTCTAACGTTAGTCGAAGAGCCATTAACGAATGACTTTTGTCAAGCCGTTTCACCCAAGATATCTATGGCTGCAGAATGGTCCCATCCAATCGTTCTGCCGTTTCTAATAGAAGAACACATTTTTGCAGCGTTTCTTTCAAGAATGAATAGGATCACCGTTGTGCTCGCTATTGTCGGAGCTGTGCACACGTTTCCTGGAGTTGGACCTGTAATTCCACAACAGCTCGGAGCAACAGGTATGGGATTTCGACAAGGACAAGGAGATTGAAATTTGAAGCAGCGCGCCTATTAGAAGCGAAAAGTGAAGTGCCCATGGGTGGTCCATTATTACGAAATAGTGCTAGCAGAGGTGCATCCCTATAGAAATATAACGTGGTTTCTTATATAGTATCTTTCTGTCTTCAGGAAAAACAAAATGTAAATCGCGAATGGGTGGGACAGTTCCAGCTGTAGTTCCAGAAGGTAAGCATGTCACGAGATTCATCGATACGATGTTTGTCGGTACGGCTCAACTGGAAAGACACTAGATTGCCACTTCCATTCGAGAGTAGATGTCACCAGATATCTTTGAACGCTAATCTCAACCTACCCTACAAAACTGCTAAACGAGTATTCGAAAGGGATATCGGGAGTTTTTATCATGAGGCCAAATA